AAAAATACACAATTCAAATCCTGGGCCTGGGATCTGTTTTCTACAACTGGGACCTTCAACTCAATACCACTTTCCAATGATGCCATCCTACCATAAACCATCAGGGTATTTATCCATTGGATAGGATAAAGTATCTGCAGTCTAACCGTTACTTTGCAGTGGATGGATTCACTTGGCTGGGTTCAGGCCTTTGAGATAGGATACTTCTGGAGAACCACTTCAAATCCAAGCAGTAACAAATACAGAGTATCTAAACAGACCAGATATTAGTCGACAGAAATGAGTTCTCAATAGCTCTTCAAAAAGAAGGCATAAGAACAAACGCCAGAGTCAAGAACGTGTCTGTAAATTCCTGCAGGTGCTCCTGCAAACTGAAGGAAAAACATAGAGGAACAAGGGACATTTCCGAGCCTTAACTCTAGTATTCTCAGTTAGGGTCTCCTGTGAGTTGATGCTCTGATTTGTGTTACTTCTTTGGAATGAAGCTTCTTCAAGTGCTAAGACCCCAGTTCTTTCCAAATATGACAGCCAGTTTTCTTCTGGTTTCTGGGGAATATTCCCGGGCACTCCTATTTGCAAGAACTATTCAGAGTGCTAGTTTCCAGCTACACTAACTCTTTATTGTGTCTGCTTGTTTTTACTCATCTAAGATATGGGATTACTTTGTTAGAGTTTCCATAATGAAAGCTCAAAAACTAGCTGTCCAGAAAATAGGAAATCTCTTGTGTTAGAGCGTAGAAGGCAGAGATCCTAGATCAACTTTTAAAGAGGCTAACTTTCTAAAGTTCTGTAAGGGAGCAGGATCTCCTGCCTCTTTTTCTCTCCATATGGTAGTTTCCTAGAAATCTTTGGGGTCCCTTGATTTATAAGTACTACCACTACAATCTCATGGTATTCTTCTTACAAAATGTTTGTCTGTCTAAAAAGTTCCCTTTTTATAAGAATACAGGGTTAGCATCTACTCAAAATGCCTCATTTTAAGTTGATTTCCATCTAAAAAGAACTGTCTCTAAGTTGGATCACAGTCTGAGGTAGAAGTCATTTGGTCTCTGATGTTTCTACCTTTGGAGAGGAGAGGAGATACATTTTCACTGATAACAGGCAATGTTTTAGTCCTTGTCAGTCATAATTTTTGGTATAAACCCCACTCATTCACTTATAAATTCTTGAAACATACAGAAATGTTTTAGGTACAAAATATTGGCCATTTCTCACAAAGCCCCTTTAGTCTCAAACCTCTGATAAGTTCCTGCTGTGTTTTTGAACGACCTCACTCGGTGCTGTATCTCTGTGCCAACAGTGAGTTCCTCTATGAACCTCAGGTAGGTGGAGTTGGACAACTTAGCAGCAGGCCTCTTTCTCAGCAGGTTTTCCCCAGAGGTTTTAATCCAGGAGTGGTAGATACTCAGGGCAAGACGACTCTCAGAGAACACACAAATAGGATGAATAGCAAGCTGCTTGCCTGGTACAGAGTTCAAAATTATAAGGTCAGGGCATATGGTAATCATAGCTGAAGCTGGTTGTGAGAATTCCAAAAGCACCAATTGAGATGGGCTTTAAGTATGTGTCTCGGAGCTGCATTTATCTCATCTAAAAGGCTTGACAGCTCCTGAGGAGATAAACACAGTTGAAGGAGCTCCAGGCTGAATACAAAGAGAACTGCTTATTCTGTTGACAACAAGAAAAGGCAACTTCCTGTTTGGGCTTAGTCTAGTTGTTAGATAGCATGGTCCAGTTGGGTACAACATGGCCTGTACTAAGGATGGCTAAGAAATGGTCACTGCATGTCACTTGGCAGAGTGGGAGTCTCCTGGGAAAGGAGAGTACATATGGCGATGCCAAGAACATTTGTGTCCATCCCAATCTGTGGTTTCCATGACTGACATTTTGAGCTGCCCTTGGGAATGAGAAGGATGAGTGGTGGTCATCTGATTTCAAGCATAGCCAAACATCCAGAATCTAATTAATATGAAATTTCTAGCTTTTAAAACATTTGCCACTGTTCTAGTTTTTATAAATGTATCTTGATGTTTTAATATGTAGTAGACCAAAGAATCCACCTTTGTAGATCAGTACTATTTGAGAAAAATCTTCTGTTTTTAAGTACCAAAACCTAATGCATTTCAACCCAAGAAGCGCTTGATGGCTATTACTTGTCTTTGCTTTTTCTCGTGTATGTTTACCAAATTCAGAGTTAATAAGATTGTTGAGTTCTTGAAATTTGTAAGATAAAGGGTCATGTGTGCTGAGCTAGAGAGATGGCTCAGTGATTCATAGTGCTCCCATTCTTCTAGAGGACACAAGTTTGGTTCCTAGCACCCAAGTTGGCCAGTTTATAACAGCCTGTTAAGCCAGCTCCAGAAGATCTCACTTTCTTGTTTAGTGTCTGTAGGTACCATTCACACATAGACATACACACAGAAATGCAGATACATAGACAGACACACATAGCGATGAACAACAAACAAATAAAACAAATCTCCAAACGGAAAAAAAATATATATCTTGTCTCCTTTGATTATCCCAAGATATCTGAGAATAAAATCCTACAGCAGTAAACCACTAGAGTAGACTACATTAATCTTTAGATAGTTTTCTAGACGTGTGCCTGGGTCTAGTTTACCTACAACTCCTCTGAGAAGATAGTTTTATGTACCATAATCCAAAAGGACAGTAGAAATTGGGGAACCATGCCCATGCCCCTTGTCATTGTTATCATCAATATTATCAAAGGCATCGACATTATTATAGGAATAACCATGGCTTCTGAAGACCAGTTGCCTCATTTGTGTTATGCAGATGCCCATATCATAAATATTGACTGACATGTGCATGTGTGCATGCATGTGTGCTTGTGTGTGGCCTTTTGTTTTGTATGTGTATTGTTCACTGGCCTTACATAGTTCTCACGTTAGCCTTGAAAATTCATTATTAATTTCTCCTAATTTCCAGAAAAGTAAGTTAAGATTTAATCAGAGGAATATATATACGTATTTGAAGAACTTAAGCCATTTCTCACAAGCCAGCCTATAAGAAAATGTGTTTAGGCACACATTGAGAATTTTTTTGCATTTATAAATTTTACAGTGTAAATATTTGAAAATCCAAGGCGTTCAGACTAAAATGTAATGAGAGATAACTAAATTGAATGGGCTCTGAAGAGTCTTCATACTCAAAAGTGCCTCCTACTTGCTTGTTTTGGGCTTCCAGTGAATTGCAGAAGGAGCCACAGAAGCACTAGAAGACAATATTTTCTATCTGATGGCCTCATCTTTGTTGGGAAGATAGTGTGTGTTTCCTGGGAGTAGAGCATAGTTCCCACCGAGGATTAGCCCTGTAACTAGTGGGCAGTCCTGGGACCAGGCAGTTGAGTGCTTAACTGACAGCATCATGAACCTGAGTCTATACTTGGCGCTGCCTTGGTCTAGAATCTCCTGCGTTCATCGGTGTTTCTTGTTTTCAAAGGAGCTGATTTCACAGAGCAATTATGTGTGCCTGAATGATTGTGCTTGATTGGAACAAAATAAAGGAGGAGATTTTACACCAATAGGACTGGAGGAAGCAAGGAAGCTAAGCTAAAAAAAAAATGCTTAGGCTTGTAGGTACCAATTTCCCCATTTCTATTTTCCCCCACAAAATAAAACAATCCCTTAGAAAAATATATATAGTGATCAAATATTGTAAAAATTATCCTCTTGTGTAATTATGAATAAGAAACAGGTCTCACCTGAAGGTTACTCTTCTAAAACCACAAGCACTGCCAACTCACTAAGCAAAGTCCACACATATCTGTGTTACGTTGGCTTTGGTGAAGAAGAAAGTGTGGTAAACAAACTCGACTTTTTCCAAAAGCTGATTCACAGCCTTTCAAGTGAATCCTAGGGCCTTCCGCTCCTCTCTTGTTGGGGTGGGGGTGGAATAATCACTCCTGCCTTGTAAATCTTGAAGAGATATTGCAAATATCACACAGAATAATAGCTAGGAGGCCCTGTGAAATCCACAGGATATTATGCAGGCATACCCTGAAGAAGCCTGCTTTGATGTCAACAAGATAGAGAGTATAAATCAACATAAAATTGATGGCAAAGGAAGCTGAGTACTCCATGTTCCAGTCCCAGCCACTTGTTGGTTGAATTAACGTATCATTAGGAAAAAAAAAAACTGGAGCAAGTTTGGCAAAAGCATGGACTTTTCAAAATAATTTTTCTGTGTTATATAAGCAGCTATGTATGATTAGCCGGCATAGAGGAGGATGAAACAGGATTTACACTAAACTGAGAGGATGGAGTGCTCTGTCAGGATTCCCCCACCCCTGCAAAAGCGAATCTAGATGCCTGTGCTTCAGCAAACCTTCCAGAATGTAAAGGGAGTTAGAATGAAAGACATAAGACTTTCCCACTGTGCATATTACTGTCCTACTGATGGAAGAACCCAATTCTTTGAGAAAGTGTATTTTCCACCTTTGATTAACTTTCATCTTTCAAATTCAGGAAAAAAACCCTTAGATCTTAAGAATATTTAGGTATGGTGAGTATCTAGCTTTTAACAGATTCCTACCTGTCATAGCTATATAACTGACACCTGGAAGAAAACAACACGAATTCTAATAATTATTTTCGAAATAGAACAAGTTTACACACAGCTAGTTTACTACAATTCTGAGAATCTGGGAACATTTTTGTATTAATTCAATAGCATCATAGCCCTAAGAAAGAGATAACAGTCTTCACTAAAGAGTGACAGAGGAGTAATTTAACTCGTTGCACTTCTTGTAGACGGTGGTGTCCAGTTATCAAGACCCAAAAAGCCTTTAGTTTGACTGTATTGTGGGGTTTGTTCAGATTGGTTCTGGGCCCTGGCTGGTCTCCAGGAGATGATGGGAAACTAAAAGCATAGAAACAAAATGCTGCTAGAACTTCACAGTTCAATCACCACTGGGCCTGACCAGGAGAAGAAACACATCTTTTCCCACTAAGCTAATAGCTGTCTCTCTTTTTCAGTGCTCTGTTTCCTGTGGTGGTGGAGTGCGGATTCGCAGTGTCACGTGTGCCAAGAACCTTAATGAACCATGTGACAAGACACGGAAACCCAACAGTCGAGCTCTGTGTGGCCTCCAGCAATGCCCATCCAGCCGTAGAGTTCTGAAACCCAATAAAGATCCAGTTCCCAGTGGGAAAAATCAAACGACATCAGACCATGACTCCTTTAAGCCCATCCCAGCACCTACACCCAAGCCCACACCACTGTCCACACCCACAGTGCCCGAGTCCGTGAGCACAAGTACTCCGGCAATCAACACCCTTGGCTCCTCCATAGCATCTGAAGAAGATCCAGATGGGATAGGATGGCAGAATAATTCAACCCAAGCTGAAGACGACTCCCACTTCCTTACTTCTACTGGAAGCACCTCCCAGGCCCCCCTGACTTCCTGGTCTTTGAGTATCCAGCCCGATGATGAAAATGTTTCCAGTTCAGCTATAGGTCCTACTGCAGACAGTGACTTGGGAGCAACCACAAGTGATTTTGGCTTATCGTCTACCAATGCTGTGACTTGGCAGGTAACTCCATTTTATAGCACTGTGACCACAGATCCAGAAATGGAGATACATAGTGGTTCAGGGGAAGACAGTGACCAGACTTTGAACAAGGACGAAAGCAACTCTGTGATATGGAACAAGATCAGAGTACCTGAACATGATGCTCCCATGGAGATGAATGCAGAAATACCACTTGGACCTCCACCAACATCTTATGTGAGGGAAGAGTCCTCATGGCCTCCTGTCAGTACAATGATGGAAGGCTTATTACCTGCCTGGTCCTTCAAAAATGAGACATCTAGGGATGAGGGGATGATCACTGAAAAATCAAGCAATATTTCACTCCCTCTTGGAGGAGAGCCCCAGCCAGCACCCTCAGAGAATTTAGGAAACCATGACCAATTAGCATTGCCAAATGATACAAGTCCAACCCAAGGCTCTGGGCCTGTCCTGACTCAGGAAGATGCCTCCAGTCTGATTGCTGAGGGATTTTTGCTAAATGCTTCTGATTACAAGCATCTTATGAAGGACCACAGCCCTGCATACTGGATTGTTGGAAACTGGAGTAAAGTAAGAGATTCTGTTTTCTGTTTCCCATCTTAGACCTGATTTCTTATGGAAAATGTCTAGGAATGGTATATTGTGCAAATTCCAAATGAACTTGCATTAAAATGTCTAATTGGGCATGGAGGTACACATCTGTAATCTTAGCTCTTGGTAAGCTGGGTCAGGTGGGTTGTGAATTGAATGCCAGCATGAATGCAGAACAGATTTGGAAGCCAGCCTGGTTACATAATAAGATTTTGTTGAAATAAAAGAGAAAGAAAGAAGGGGAATGTAAAGAAAGGAGAAGGAGTGATGGAGAGAAAAGGGAAGTAGACAGAGAGAGGAGAGGGAGGGAAGGAAAGATAGATGATAGGTGATAGACAGACAGACAGACAGACAGACAGACAGAGATAGATAGATCAATAATGACGATTGATAGATGATAGATAGACAGGTAGATAATAGATTGTAGATAGATGATAGCTGAAGATTGATGACACACTAGAGGTGAGCCTGAAAGAAGTTAAGTCACTAGAGTCACACATACCAACTGAAGGAGGAGGGATTTGAACTTGGGTGAATAGCTGAGAACCCACAATCCTTTCATTTGCAAATCAGAACACATTACCATCCTCTGTGCCCTTGGTTTTATTTGATGTTCCTTTGCTCATATTACATATTAAAGCAAAGTCAGTTATGTGAAGATCCTAAGTTGACAGATGAAAACATCATCAATTCCACAAGAACATATTTTATAACAACACAGAGGGTACCTCCTGGTTACTTTTGAGTTCACAAAAAATAAATAGTGCCTATGATATCACCACCATTGATTTAGTATAGACATTTTAAAGTAAAGTTGACATTCTCTGGGTTTCTTAGAATGATTTCTTTATAGTACTCTCAAAATGTATTTATCTTTCTAAATTTATTCCATATCACAAAGGAACAAAAAGAGAGCTTGCTGTCTTTGTGTGTGTCAAAGCAATTCAATGGGTTTGGCCTTTGATGCCTCTGAGATGTCTAGGGATAGCTAGCATGTTTTTGTGTGTATGGGTCTGGGGTTCTTGAGGAAGGCAATAACTAGAGATAGAACTTAGCAGCCATGATCAGTGGGTGGTAGGTATAGCCTTGCAATTGAGTAAGGTTACCCAAAAGCTACCTGCACACTGCAAAGACCTGTGGCCCAAGAGTGGAAACCTAGAAAACACCCAGTTTTAAAGAGATGGTTAAAAAGATACCCCATGGGGAAGTCTGCAAGGAATAATCTAATAGGTAAGACTTATATAAAGAGAGATAGCGCCATTTGTAGTTAGGAGTGAGTCAGCTTTTGCACTTGATCATTGACAGGTCTCTGATGACATTAGGGAGAACAGACTTAGTACTTAGCTGGAAGCTGCAATAGGAAGAAAGCGCCCTTTAGGAGACTATCTCAGTAATTGGGGGGAAGCTCTACACTAGGACTATTAATAAGCACAGACAGCTCTTCTCAGATCAAAAGTTAATATAGAAGTTGAAAGGCCCTGGTGAATGTGAATTCAAAACCATCTTGGGCTGCATAGCAAGATCCAGATCATCCTGGGATGTATAATGACTTCCTGGGAATAAGAACTACTAAAACAAGTATTGGTTTGGGAATGACCCATCCTCTTATCTTTTTATCCATGCCTAAATCCCAGGACACGTGTGTCCTTTTTGGATTTAAGTGTGTTGCAGTTATCTTGTTCTGATAATGTTCAATAGATTCTATTCAGTTGGTAAATTTTTATTAATTCAATAAACTAAAATTTAAGTTACTATATCCAAGAAAATGAAAACATAATAAAATACACATGAACTATAATGACTTTTGATCCCAGGAGTTTAAACATTTTGAGTATAATAAATCAAGACATAATTCACTTAGACTCAAATGTTATCATTCAACTTTGACAAAACTAATTGTCTTATTCAATTTATCATAATCCACCAAAAAGTTTGGCAACAATGTTATAGTCACCAAAGCTACTGTCACCTAAGAAGTTTGACTCCAGAAAAGGAACTAGATCATTTAAGCCATTTAGAGCAACAAGAATATAATGAAAATTAGAGCTATCTACTTGGCAAGGGTCCCCTACATGGCAGGGTTTAGTAACTACTCCTTTTATGTATTTTTTAGAAAAGAAATGTGTCATATATGGATTTATCAGAGAAAGTCAGAATTCAAAATGGAAGCCTTGGGTTTTTGAGCATCTCGGGACCCCTGATGCTTGTGTCTGCCTGTTTCTGAGGCTGTGTTCTCAGTAAACAGATCACTCATCTCTCAATTACAATGTCTCTGAAACCTAAGAAGCGCCACTGATGCTAATCTGCCTCCACCTCACTAGAACAAGCTCTAGTAGTGTTTGAAGTCAGACGACGTCATCAATTCAGACATCTTCTTTTTGTTTCCTGCTAGTTGAAGGCTGAGCAGTTCCTAGGCTGATGGTAGGAAGGATTTGGAATGACTACATTTAATATATGAGAGAACAAAAATAATAGAAATACCTACAGTATTCGGGAAAATCTTTTGTTAAGGAAGGAGTCCCAAGCCCAAAGTACCAATAGTATCTCAGTAGTTAGAAATAAAGGACCCTTGGTGCATACTTTTGTCCAATACACCTGGCTTCGCCTCACTGCTGGTCGGTACATCTCTATTCTTTCCCTTTTCCGACACTCTCCACACATCACTACAAGAGATGTCAGAGGCTTGTTCTAACTGCATCAATGTACTGCTTACATACATCTACCTTTTCAATACGTACAGATCGGATGAAGTGCACTCTATCAATAATATAAGGCGGTAATCAAAAAAGTAAACCGTCTAAGGAAACATCAAATTGGAGTAGTATTTTTTCATATACTGACTTTCTAGTCTTGCTGCTATTCTGCATCCAATTTGCACTTCAGAACTCCAAAGTGCCCAGTCTCCTTTATCCTCTATGTCCTTGTCCAGTGCTCTCCTCCATGCTGCTTCTACCTGGGCTTCCCTACCCTGTCTACTCTGCCCTCATACCCTGCATGTCCTTTGGGGTCATTTTCAGCTTCTTCTTCTGTAAAGCTTTTCTGATATCTAACCCAGAAATCATTTTTTAAACTTTCCCAGGGCTTGATCTGAAGTATCTCTTAGGATATGCTCTCAGCTTCTCTTCTGAATTAAAAGATTGCCCAAGGCCCTCACTGTACATCACACTTCTACTAATTAAGGTTTCAGGATTAATAATTGATATAAAGCCTAGGTTGGCCCTATAAAAAAGCATGCAGTTTGAAAATGCACTCGCTGGACTTGGACCCGAGTAACTGTTTCCTGACACTCCCTCGGTTTCTTCCTCTGTAAGGAGGTGATAGTTGTCTGATTCCTAAGATTGGTATGAAGTGAAAGAAATATCTATGGGCTTCAGAAGAACAGCAGACACATAGCAAGAAGCAGGGGGGGTTCAATTTGTGTTCACAAAACAGAAAATGTGAGTGTCATGTCCTGTGCATTGTTATGGCCCTTATCTTGACAGAATCCCTCATTTCATCTCATTGAATTCTTCTTTCAGTAAGATCCCCTGGGCCAGCCCATTAAATGTAGACTTCTGTAGTCAAGTACAATGCAGGTGAGAGCAAAATTTTCACATCTTTTCAGAGCTATTTTTCAGACGCTGCTTGCCTGACCCTCCGTAATGCCCCAGTTCTAGCATCCCACACCTGCTCCTTGACCTGATGGGTCAGTTGCTGCCAAGGGCCGAGGACAGAATGAAGTTACCCCTCCTCTTCCTCAAAGGCCTCTTGTTTCCTCCCATCTCCTACTTGAATTTGAATGTAATTAAATTTTTTAAAACTGTAATCTACAGAATGCGATTTTTGTTTTGCTTTTCCTATTTTCAGTGGATTTCCTCTTGTCAGATTTACTTTTGGACCATTGCAAGATGCCTATATAGAAACTGTCAAAGAAAATTAAACCAATTCTGGTGAGAATAAAGCTTCAAGCTCTGGAAATAATATATGCGATTTGCCACATAAATATGGCAAAGAGAACTATGGCTATCTCTTGAGATTTATTGGAATCATTGCTAGCCTGGTAATGTGGTCTCATTAGCAACTTTCCTAGGCTTTCCTAAATGTTATATTTTCCTTCTATGTCACAGTATTAAGTTACCAGCACAGCATACTGTCTGTGTGTACTTGTGCAAGGCAGTATGCATGAGTGAGCTTCCATCCTGACTGCAACTCAACATGAGGGATACTACAGTTGCCACCAGTTTTGCAAGCTTAGGGGAGTCCATAATTGCACAAGCTCACACTGTTAGCAAATAACAGAACTGTGATTATTCACTGCATAGTTGTACCCTCAACCAGGAGGTTCTATCCGCTTCAGCCTGTTCTCAGGTCCCTGCTGGGGGTCAGCTGAAAGCTGGCCTGGGGTGGCTTCATCTGAGTCATCTGATTCTGTTTCATGTTGGCTCTTGTCCTCTAATGTGTGGCCCAGATGAAAGCAGAGTCCAGAGCAAAAGCAGAATGCAAAACCTGGTAACTAGCATAGCTTTAGCCACCATGCCCCATTAGACAAAAGACGACACAAGAACAGTGTCGATTTAATTCCACCTCTGATGAGAGGGTGAGGGTGAATGCTGGAGAACATTAGTGAGCTTAATCCACGATGTGCTCAGTGCATGTTAGCTGTCATGGGCTCTACTAAACAGATGTATAATTACGTTCAAAGAGAAACCAGAAAGACTCAGATCAAGTCCTAAATGACTGTAAGGATGAGAAGAAATTGCGTCTATAAATGAAAATTGATATTAGACATTGGGTACTTTTTAGTCTTCCCATTTTGGGATTCTACAATTTACCTAAGATATAAATGTGACTATACATATATGTATACTTATACATATGTATATAAACACACATACACACATATGTATATATATATGTATACATATACACATATGTATACATATGTATATAAACACACATACACACACATATATGTGTATGTATATATATATATACATATATATACATATATATACATATACTTATTTTTATTATACTAAAATTTACACCAGATGAAGCACCAAGTTATATAAAGGGCAAATGTGTAGCCAAGAAAACATAAGGCAGCTCTTGGTTTATATAATTTATCAAAAGACACTTTCTTTTAAATATGTTCACATCTGTCTTTTATGTATTCAGAAATGACCGTTTCCTAAGGGTGAGCAGGAAAAGAGAATACAAGGGGTGGGAGAGATAAAAATGGGACAAACTATGTACTCTTCAAGGTGAGTGCAAGCTAAACTTGTGATAATGAAGGAAACACCTTGAGAAAAATTAACTCTGCCTATGGAAAAGGCCACTACCACATTCTCTGCTGCTGGATCAAGGAGTGAAGGGTAGCCTTTTGTATGTTTTCCCCTACTCCACCTGTGGTCTGAGAGCCAACATTGTCGCACCATCTGCACTTTGTAAAAATGTAGAGTCTCGTATCTGCCTTTAGCTGGTTCCTGGAAGTTACCTAGAGACACTAGAGTTTGAGACACACTACAGAATATATGATGTGGGCTCTGGAGGAAGAAAACCCCATCTTCCTCCATGGGCAAGCCAGCATTAAGCTCCAGTGTTCTGTCTAGTAACTAGTACAACAAGGTTGCCATGGAAAGAAAGTGGGTAAAAGTCATTGCCACATTAGACATGAGCTGCAAGGCAGATGCACACATCTGGCATCCTTTCTGAACTGGAGTGGTATACGGTGTGCCTGTGGCCCAGTTATTTGTGTCAGTATATATTATCAAGGAAAAGCATATTTTCATTTATTTGCTTTAGTATACGGCTGGGTGATCTCTAACTGCAGATATTAAAGCCATTCACTTTAAACGATTCATCCAGACATTGAAATGTTGTGTTTATTTATATCTGAGACAACCTTAGCATCTGGAACAGGAAACCTTTGGCTCCAAGCCCCCGGAGATAGGTGGTCCTGAGAAAAGCTTTGCCTGTCTTCTCTTCCTTCCTTCCTGCTGCAGTGCTCCACCACCTGTGGGCTGGGGGCCTACTGGAGGACAGTAGAATGTAGCACCGGGATGAATGCTGACTGCGCCACCATTCAGAGGCCAGACCCTGCTAAGAAGTGCCACCTCCGCCCCTGTGCTGGCTGGCGAGTGGGAAACTGGAGCAAGGTAATCTTTGATGCTGTGTATTCACGGAAAGGAGTGGGCCCTATGTGAACACTTGCCAAAAATGTCTACTCTCCTCCTGTCTCTCTCCCTGCCTCCCTTCTGTATGTCTCTTTAAAAAAAGCAAGGGCCATTGGCTTATTCTAAGTTATGGAAGACCTAGAAGTCAGACATGTTATTAATATGCAAACTTTTACCTGTGTGTCATCACTGTCTTGAGATAAGCTCGAGAAAACAGTTTCAAAATGAGTTGCTCTGTCTAGCCTGCAGTTCAATATTTCTCAGTTATTTCAATTTTGCATTGCATGAAAATTATAATTGTATAATGAATAATTATACATTGTCACATATATAATTAAGTCGTGGCTCAATGGCTCTTCACACATAAAAAAAAAATGTTTCATTTCCCTAAAATGAAAAGAAAGCAGAAGCATTGAGAACAATCCAGGACTAGAGGAATGATCCAGCAGTTAAGAGTGCTTTCTGTTCTTACAGAGGAACTGAGTCTAGCTCCCAGTATTTACACAGGGTGGATCACAACCACCTGAAGCTCCAACTCTAGGGCACCCAATGCCCACCTCTAACCTTCACACATGAACATACACACATAGTAAATAATAACACTAATATAATGGTGGTGGTGATGATGATTTCTGAGTTTGGGAAAGAGAGGGCTAACTCCTTGAGAATCGCACTACATATTCTAATGACTCTTCAACCTCCCTCTCTCTATGTTGCTACTGTAAGTTTTTAAAGAATAAATTCACATTCCTTTGAGGGTTTTTTCTTTCCAACTAATAACAAATCCCAGAATACAACAAAGACACTTATCTATGAATCATCTCCCATATCTAAAAATACCTTAAGGAAATGTCTCAGTTTTCAAACTTCGCCAAGTGTTACCCATGTCCCAAAATTCCATTCACTTTTCATGGAGGATAATCATTTTCTTGAAAATGATATGACATGAAAAGACAGTTCCTCAAGACGGTCAAGTCAGGCCTGAGGAATTCCCAGATGAAAGATTCTGGAGCTCATGCCTGGGTTTTGCCAGAATTCTCCTTCCTCCATCCACCAGGGAGTTTAATTTTTTTCACTTGACAGTTTGCTTTTTCAGAGTTTCTCAATACTAAAATTTCAATGTTACCTCTCCATTAGTCTACAAATCTCTGCCCAAATACAAAGACTTAAATTCCTTACAGTCTAGGCTGAATTACAGACTTCCCTGAGCCCACTAGCATCAGACCTGAGGCACCCAGTTAACTCTCCAGGGATTTCCCCACCACCACGATCCATCACTGGCTGGATTGACGTGTTTTGGCTAGCTTCTGGCTCTAAGTGTACCCTTCTCACAGTTTAAGCCTGAGTTAAGCAGTTCTTGTGTGCATTTTAAATGTTCGACAGGAAACAAAGTTGCACATTTAGATTTCTACCTTCCTGGTACCTAGAGATAACAAAAACGGCTCTTCCTCTCTGAACTCATCTGGCTGAAGTAAAGCAAAGGTTCTTGTCTTAACTTTGCCCCAGCATATTTCTATAGAATTAAATCCTAGAGGCAAGCTGGTAGGGTGGTGCATGGCTGTACTTCTCAGGTTGCACCGGGATTGTCATAAATTTAAGTCCAGCCTGAACTTCATAGTGAATTCAAAGGCAGCAAGGATTGTATAGCAAGACTCTGTCTCAGAAAACAAACAAAACCATCCTAGAGGTAGTAGTGTGCTGAGAATCAGGCACATGTGAATCGGGATTCCTGCCCTGTCTCTAATTAGTGTGTATTCATCCAGCTGATTAGAAGGACTTAATGTACTCATGTCAGAAATAAGTTAGTAATACTGCTTCTACTTAACCTATGAAGTTATGTAAGGATCAAATATATATTTATTAACTTTTATTTCTACAACAAACACCTGAGATAATCAACTTATAAAAAAAAAAGGCATATTTAGAGGGTTCGATCTATGAACAGTTTATCTCTTTGCTGTGACGTCGATGGTAGGAAGTACTTGATGAAGCAATGCTGCCACCTCCTGGTGGGGAGGCACATACAGAAATGACAAGGAAGAATCCCTTTCAAAGGTCTGTGCCCAACAACCAGAAGACCCCCAACTCCACCCCACTCCTTAAAATTTCTATCACCTCCAATCAGCATCACACCAGAGAACAAGACTTTCACACATGGGCCTTTGGAAAACATTCTAGATTTAAACTATAGCAGTGTACAAAACATCCACAAATAGCAAAAGCCTGTCTGAGGGAGGGGACGGGGGGATGGTGCCGGGTGGGGGAAGCAATTTCTGGGCAAGATTTATGCTAAACAGTGAAAGTCAGAGTGGCTGGTAGGTATTTGCTAACCTTTGATTTTTCTAGACTTGAAACAAGAAGTTGAAGGACAGGCGAATCCTGTCAGAGGAGTACTGACTAGAGAAGTTGTTTGTTCCTAGTGCTAATCAAAATGCCCAGCTGTCCATGAACAGTGGGACACTTAAACTACTTGTAGAAGCCAAAAGTCACCTATATCATCAGGTGCCTGCTGCTGAAGCTTTCAAAACACCAATTTCATAATTAACTTGATAAAGGAATGTATAATCTCTGTTGAGGAAAACGAGATTTAAAGTGGTTGTTTATCGTGCTTATTCTACACCGTGTCAGTCACAAGAAATTATCAACTGATGGAAAGCTTATTGGACACTTTATTGCTTCAACTATAGTGTTTCAGGAGGAAAGAAACAGTTCGTGATAAATATGTATATCAGTGGGGTAACACACACCAATTTTAGAATGAATTCCTTGGGTAGTGGAAGTTATTCTTATGGTGAAAGAAATGCAAGAAATGACAATGGTGCTCTTGAAAACCCCTCCAGTAGGTATAACACCCAAACTACTCATGATTTTCAATTCCTCACACTTCCAGAAAGAATGATCTACATGTCACCTCAATTCTGCAGACTCCCGATTTGACAGTCTTCCTGTTATGTTTTTTAGATTGAACACTGTACTTTTTTGGAATTAAAGTCAAACAAATCATATTTCTTCATGAAATAAATCAGAAATGTGTTTTCCCATGGGGCAATCTGTCTTCCCACATATGCAACACTGCAATTTCCTTTTAGCAACAGTCGATTTTATTATCTCTAGCTTTGCTGAAAAATAAGAGGAGACTACAGCCTGTCCTTGAATCATCAGGCCTCATATATTTGTTAACTACTTTGTCTTAATCTAGATGAAGTTTGTATGTCTTTGGAGTTTGTATATTTTCTATGGCTTTGCTACAATTTATCAAACTGAAGTTCTACAAATGGATAAAATGAAAAATAGCATTGATTTTACTAAGTATATATAGATTTCTACCCCATCCAAAGTACATTCATAGACACATATTAAAATTTAATGCATAAAAGCCAGCACATAGAATTATATATTAGAGAGATGTCTCCATTCCTCAAACTGAATGGCAGGAAGTGGAAGATGATAGACTGAGAATCTCTTCCTTTATTTGATCCTGAGTATATTAATAATTTAATCTTTCTTTAAAGCATCACACTCCTTTTACACCACTAATCATCTTAAATTCAGAGATCCCTAAGGAAAAAAATAGTTACAGGAATGGCAATCAAACGGAAGCAATGGGGATATAAACCTAGTCATCTCACGCAATTGGGGCCACAGAAAAGTTGACCCAAGACCAATGGCATGCCGACAACAAGGCCCTCCATGGTAGCCTCTGCCTGCTTCTCCTTGCTCTCCCTTCCCCTCTTCTTGAATTCTGCCCAATGTGTTGTTTGCAGACAAGCCATGTTGAATCAAAGTGTTGAGTCTCTCTACACACCACTCTCTTTACTTCTCTGCCCTCTACCTGTTTTGTCTTCAGTGTCTACTTGACACTGAAGAAGGAAAGAGGAAAGTAAGGGGACGGAGGGACAATTAGAATTTTAAAAATAGTTGTAGCTGGTCTTTGTTCCTTTGTGGGTTCTTCTTTTTCCCACCCTTTATCACCCCCAGTTTTACCTCCCATCACTAGATAAGAGAGAATGGATAGAGGAGACAGACAGACAACAGACAGACACACATACGCACACACACACACACACACACACACACACGCGCAGAGAGAGAGAGAGAGAGAGAGAGAGAGAGAGAGAGAGAGAGAGAGAATTTCCAAGAATTTCTTTTCTCTTGTTCTTCTTTGAGCAGGACAACTAACAAACTACATCCAATGCCCCCTGAATTACTAACAATGCCAACACCCCTCTCTTGGGGCCCTAGCATTTACATATGCTTTAAAAGTTCCCAGAATTCTGAACATCACACAATCATAGAAACTATCTGCAGCTAGCAAAAACTACACCTCTGCTAGAGCACTAAGCGAATCATAATCAGATGTTACAGACCATCTGAAGCAGCCTCACATCTCCACACCTGGGAGTAAAATGAAAGCACATTTTTATAATATTTCTGTTTTTTTGTTTTGCTTTGCTTTTGTTTTTTTCTTTTGTTTTTTGTTTTGTTTGTTTTTCGAGACAGGGATTCTCTGTGTATCCCTGGCTGTCCTGGAACTCACTCAGTAGACCAGGCTAGCCTCGAACTCAGAAATCTGCCTGCCTCTGCCTCCCAAGTGCTGGGATTAAAGGCATGTGCCACCACCGCCCGGCTATTTTTGTGTTTTTAAAAGAAACTAAAATCTCATAATTTTCAAAACTGTCATTCCAAACAGTTTTGTTAGTTATTTGAGAGACTCATACATTTGTATTTTGATGTTTTTCATGCCCAGACTCCTCCCAAATACATACCCTCTTCTGTACCAATCTAATTTTGTGTCCTTGTGTTTCTTAACTCAAACAACTCCTGTTTGTGCCATTCATATATTCTTGAGTCACTACTAGATTTTAAACGTCTTGTGACTGTGTTTAGCACAAATAAAAGAGTAAAAAGTAAGGCTTCCCTTTAAATTCTATATCCTAGTTTACTATTTGGCCTGAGGCTTTGGATATTCTCAAATCACAGCACAGTACAACTGCAGTGATCCATGTCCTTCTGATGCCTGGGAACGTTGGGACAATTTAATAATCCAGCTTATCCTTATTTTGATATCAGTGAAGAAATGGAGTCTTAGAGAAGTAATTTATTCACACTCACACAGCCATTTAGTGCCAGGGTTGTAACTGAATGCCTTGTGGTGACCTCCTGACCCTGTGCTCCTTAACTTTCTCATCATATGTTTCTGAGGACTCTGTAGTGTGAAAAAGATGACACAAGTCAAAACCAGCCCCAAGAAGAAGAGGTGGACATTTTATTTTTATCAGTGAATCCATTAATAAAGGCATTATTACTTTCTTTAATTTTGTAAACTTAATATAAAAAACTTGCAAATAGATAAAAATATCACATACTTATCCACCATTAAAACAACACCAAAAAATCCTTGAGATAATGGAATCTGTTTCCATTGTACCTTGATTTGGTTTGCAAAACACATCAGTTAAAGTAACTGATACTGTAACTGGAAAACTATCTTGATTTTGACAGAGCATTAGCTAGTTTTTCTCCTCCCTTATCCTGACTCCTGTCCTCAGGCTGGCCCACAGGCTCCATATTAGGAAATACAAGTAGGGCAAGAAGAAAACGAATGCATCAATTGGCATTCTACACACAAAAGCAAACCGGCATTAAGAGTGACTTCAATATGCCAAGTGATTTCAGTATGCTGCCACTTCTGCCTTGCTAATGGAAACTAAGACCCCTTTGAAAATGAAACAGAGGGATAGATTTAGAAAGTATTTTCCCTTGTGACTGCTCACAGCATGCGAGTAAATTTCACTTCCCATTATATGTGTACAAACTTTCAACAATAGAATAATGCTAATTTGAAAATTGTATTTGGGAATAGTGGCTTGTAGCAACAAATAGAACACGAGAAAATATAATCTCATTTCACACTTGTTTCTTGTGAAATTTACTTCTCTTAATAGAGCTAATTATAAAGTAGCAGCTACTTTTATTTTTCTACACGTGCTTAGCACATGGGAAGAGAATAAAGATTTTGTTAATTTGCATTTTGTTGGAGCTGTCTGGCTAGTTTGATCATTCTTGAATTGTGAAAACACAAGAGCATCCATCTACCTCTTGGGCAAGTGAGCCCATATCTTCCCATGTTACAGACAATGCTGTTTAGTGTTGACAACTTGACAGGGTCTAGCCAACTAGGCATGCTCATGGAGGTTATCTTATTTAGCTTAATTGAGTTGGAGAGACCTTTCTATTGTGGGTGGCACCATTCCCTAGGTTTAAGTCCTAGACTGTATGACAAAAGAGAAGGTTAACTAAGTACAAACATTCCTTGTTGCTTCTTGACTGAGGATAGAGTGTGACCAGCTTCCTTACAATCCTACCATTGTGAGTCCTGTCATGATGGGCTATAACCTACAAATGTAGCTAAAATACATTCTTTCAAAGTGTTATTTTTTTTCTAGGAATTTTAATTATAGCAATAGAAAACTAACAAAGACACAGATCAAGATTTTATACCAAGTATCTTGGTGCATCTTTCTGGATAGTGGGAGAAGGTGGAGCAGTAGTTTTGGAAATCTTCTACTGGAAGGATTTGAGGGATTTTCTCTACTCAGTTGCAACCCTACAATGATGACTTCTGGGAAAGCCAGGAGTGTATGATGTTTCTTGACTAAAGACGAGGGTCAGAGGACAACATACAGACATCCTCCTGTAGTATATGTCCTTTCTTGGATGTACCTTTTCAGTCAAGACTCTCAATGAAATCACTGTGAATAATGGAGAAGGTAAAGACACAGTTGCTGGGCATGGAGGCACATATCTGAAATCTTAGTGCTCAGGAGGCTGAGGCAGGACGTTCATAATGTCAGACTAGGCTATCCTATCTCAAAGAAAGAAGGAAAGAAAGAAAGAATAAAGAAGGAAGGAAGGAAGGAAGGAAGGGAGGGAGGGAGGGAGGGAGGGAGGGAGGGAGGGAGGGAGGAAGGAAGGAAGGAAGGAAAAGAGGATACAGACATTGGTTTTCCCTTTGGGGGTCCAACTAGCAGTTTCTCAAAATTCATTTTCTTGATTCAACAAATCCATTCTGGTCATTCATGCTTGCCTGGCCCCATGCTGAGCACCTGTGGTACAATGCTGAATGAGTACTTAGGGCACTTCTTTCATGGCAGTGACAGTGGTACAAACCATGGACAAAATAAACTAGATCTTTTGCATTTCAAGTGCTATGTCATGGAGAGAGAGAGAGAGAGAGAGAGAGAGAGAGAGAGAGAGAGAGAGAGAGAGAGAGAGAGAGAGAGAGACAGAGAGACAGAGAGAGAGACAGAGAGAGAGACAGAGAGAGAGACAGAGAGAAGGAGGGAGAGAGGGAGGGAGGGAGGGAGGGAGGGAGAGAGAGAGAAACCAAATAACAGGAGCATGTTTTGTTTAAGGAAGACCTCGGCTTTACAAAGTAGTGAAATGACTCCGTGGGAAGGGGTGAGCCTCACAAACCTGAGGGCCTGAGTTCTAGCCCCAGAACCCAATTGAGTAAAAGACAGAGAATCAACTCCACAGTCCTGTCCTCTGATTGCCACATGTGTACCACAGTGGCAGACACATGCTGATGCATACCTATCATATCACTCACTGTGGCAAGTAACATTTGTTTAAAGTGTTCTCATTTCATCTGATGCTCGGACAAAGGGAAGAGTAGCATCACAATTCAGAAAGCAGAGGAAGGGGCATTTAGGATGTAAGGACCACAAGGGAACATTGTTAAACTGGGAGCATCTACTGATGAGTGCAGGACCCTCCCATTTCGGGTCCAAATATACAGCAAATGTAGGTGGTAAGGGATCAGGAAAGCACTCGAATCAAATGAGACAGATGAGAGACTAAATCCTGGCTGCAGGTAGCCTAAGTTACCAGTGCTGTTCTTGTCCAAATTACATGGAAAGCTGACAGGTGAACCCTGCAATTTCCAGATACAGAGCAGGATGCAGGGACTGTTTCACAAGGTTGGAGTCAGGGGAGAGGGCTATAAATAGGACTGGTTTGGAGGCTTTCTGTAGACATGTGCCCATAAGGCAAAGCATACAGTGATGGAGGCAGTGATGAATGACAGCTTTGCTCATTCCTGTGAGTCAAAGCATTGAACAGTTACTCAGTTTGTTTCTATATTATAATCTCTACCTAAGAGGCTTTATAACCTACCCTGTGTTCCGAGTCATGGATAAAACTGTTCTGTAGTGGACCCCTGAGAGAGAAGGGAAGATAGTTTGTCAGAGTGGTCCTTCCTTTGGGACAAAAATGCCCCATCCCAGAAGGCTTTGGATGCTGGTTTACTTGAAGTAGATACAGGTATTTAGCAGGAATGACCACCCTTTGAGTCAGGCTATAACCTGTGCTGACTAGCCCAGGTTTTTGTCTTCTAGTAGCCTGTGAGATAACAGTTAAACAACCAAGTTTGCAAATGTGTCCTCTGAGGCTCAAAGTGTATTCACTAAAAAATTATGTATCCATAATCATCCAGGGACAAAACTGGGATACTCACCCACTGCTGACAGACCTCCAAATTGGTTTTTTGTTGTTGTTGTTTTGTTTGTTTGTTTGTTTTTGTTTGTTTTGGTTTTTGGTTTTTGGGTTTTTTTTGGTTTTTGGTTTTTGGGTTTTGGGTTTGGGGTTTGGGGTTTTGGGTTTTGGGTTTGGGTTTGGGGTTTTGGGTTTTGTTTTTTGGTTTTGTTTTTTGGTTTTGGTTTTGGTTTTTGACACCCGGAGACCCAAACTAGAAGATCTGCTTATATGATTGCCTCTCAATAAATATGAAGGAAAGTTGGGTACATGCAGACTAGGTTTGACCTCTTTCCCCATGCTAGGAACCTGAACTTCCACAGCGATGGAGTGTAGGGTCCTGATGCTAAGGAGTCAGCTGTTACCTCTGCCTTTGTTCTCCATTCAGTGCTCCCGAAACTGCAGTGGAGGCTTCAAGATTCGTGAGGTTCAGTGCATGGACAACTTGGACCATCACCGGAGCCTGAGGCCATTTCACTGTCAATTCCTGGCTGGTGTTCCTCCTCCGCTGAGTATGAGCTGTAACCTGGAGCCTTGTCAAGAATGGCAAGTGGAGGCCTGGAGCCAGGTATGGCACCCAGAAGGGAGCATCACGGAGACTTGAGTCTAGAGTCGAATAGACCATGAATTATTGTATTAACACATGTGTGTAGGAGTTACAGAAGACAACACTGGAATCATACCAGAGATTCAATTCCATTTAGTGACCCCACACTGTATGGGGGAAACGGCCTCCCTGAAGGAGCTGAAAGAATGCCACTGGGAAAATGATATGGTATGTTGTCAGCTATGAAAGTAGAGTTCTTTATTAGAGCGTTGTCTCACAATGGACATAGTGTTTAATCAGAGACCCTGGGGATTTGAACACTTGAGATGATTCAAAATAGACTACTTTGATGAGCAATATATAATAATAGCCTTGCACACCTAAGCCTTCTTCAGTCAGGCTGAGAATAACGGTCAGATCCTTCTCACCACATATCATTTTAGATTCATATCTCAGTCAAATGCACAGATGACTGTTGGCACAAATAAAAGAGAGGGTGCCTGTCATTTTTATGTTATAAAGAACTCTGCTGGATTTTGGTGTCTAGAACATGAAAACACCAATAGAGTTATTATTCTCAGATAAAGTATGATAGTCTCATTTCCCAATAGAAAAGCACATCAGTGGCTAAAACATACTCCCACGTATATCCACGCACCAAACAAAGATGAGAAGCCAAATCTATAATGCACTGTGAGTGTGCGCATGGGGTCTTTTATTGCCTACTTTAATTCTCACAAGGATGTAAGTGGTAGGCCTTACTCGTTCCATTTTATAGATGAATTTTAACTCGATGAGGTTAAGAAATACACCTGAGGTTCCACACCCAGAAAATAAATGATAAAGTGCTTATTCAAGCATCAGTCAGACTTCAGTTCCAGTGCCTACTCCTTTGTAGAACTTGGCTCAGTGAGAGTTGAGCAGAGAGATTAGTGAGAAGGGCTGAGTCATTAACTCTTTTATGGGTCCCTTCAATGTATGCAGGAAGAGAACGGATACGAATACAATGAAATTATTCAAAGTAGACTACTCTGATGAGCACTGTATAACAGCCTTGCACACCTGTCCAAGCCTTCTTCAGAAGGGCTGACAATAATAGTCAGATCCTTCTCACCCCATATAATTGTAGATTCAGAGCCCGAAGACACAGACCTAGCACAGAAAACTGACTCCCTTGTGACTTCCTACTTCACTCTGGGCCACTAACTCATGTTGATTGCTAGGTATCAGAACCACTCTGTAGTGTTTCCTGGGGTGATGTGGGAAAGTGGGACAGTATCCTCTATTTCCTCCTTCCCTTTCTTGCTAAACTTTAGACTGGAGTACCTGTTGTTCCCACACCTTCCCGGCCTTCAAGTTCTTCTCATATGCTAAGCCTAGCCTGGATCTGCTCAGGAAAATCATTCAAATCATGGAAAACTTTTACACAGAAGTTGAGATTTCCCGGTCAGAAAAACAGCATTTTTAGGCTATCAAAGATGACTAGTGAAAGACCAGTAGTGTTGGCACTCGCCTTTAAGCTCAGCACCTGGGGAGGCAGAGGAATGCCAGTCTCTGTGAGTTGGAGGCCAGTATGGTCTGCATAGTGGATTCCAGGCCTGGCAGGCTGTATAGTGAGACCCTCATTCAACGTCCTCACAATGATGATCAGTCAGATCTTCTTTATTATGGAGAAGATATTATCTTTGTATTTCCTCAGTAGCTGGGGAACCCCAATATTAATATATTCCCCAAAGACTTCCTACCACCAACTTTTCTAAATGTCTTTGTTCCAAGAAAACCACAAAGTTGGAAGACGTCTCCTTGAAGACCCAGTGGAGACAGGAACTTTAACTCCTGGAGCTGTTCAAATATTGAACACCTTTAGATATTTTCATTAACCTGTTGTAATGCTCTATTTAATGGCTTTCTACCCTGAGAATATTCTGGGCCCATTTGGGAAACGTCAGACATCTCAGACTAATTAAAGGGCCAATGTATTTTAGCTATGACATCTCTCCATCAGTGGTAGTCAAATGTTAGTACATTTCAAAATCATCTTGTCAACACAGAGGGTTGGGATGATCCCTGGAGGGTCTAATTAGGGAGTCTCAGGTTGGAAACTCTAAATATACAATGTGTCTTCTCTATGAGATGATGGTGATACTGCTGGTCTGAGAATCACCAATCCATCCTAATTTATTACCCTCTTTTCCTTCTTCTTGGTCAGGTACCCCTGAATCCATACACACATATGCAGAGCCACAGAATCCCAAGGTGGAATTATGTTTGTGTGGCTATCTTTTTTCTGGGTTTTTTGGAAGAAGATTACTTTCTTGCCTTTTCTAGGTGTAGTTTCCCTCCTTGTGTTGGAGTTTTCCATTTACTATCCTTTGTAGGGCTGGATTTGTGGAAAGATATTGTGTAAATTTGGTTTTATCATGGAATATCTTGGTCTCTCCATCCATAGTAATTGAGTGTTTTGCTGGGTATAGTAGCCTGGGCTGGCATTTGTGTTCTCTTAGGGTCTGTATGACGTCTGTCCAGTATCTTCTGGCTTTCATAGTCTCTGGTGGGAAGTCTGGTGTAATTCTGATAGGTCTTCCTTTATAAGTTACTTGACCTTTTTCCCTTACTGCATTTAATATTCTTTGTTTTGTGCATCTGGTGTTTTGATTATTATGTGATGGGAGGAATTTCTTTTCTGGTCTAGTCTATTTGGAGTTCTGTAGGCTTCTTGTATGTTTGTGGTCATCTCTTTCTTTAGGTTAGGGAAGTTTTCTTCTATAATTTTGTTGAAGATATTTATTGGCCCTTTAAGTTGGGAATCTTCACTCTCTTCTATACTTATTATCCTTAGGTTTGGTCTTCATTGTGTCCTGGATTTCCTGGATGTTTGGGTTAGGAGCTTTTTGCAGTTTGCATTTTGCATTTTCTTTGACAGTTGTGTCAATGTTTTCCATAGTATCTTCTGCACCTGAGATTCTCTCTTCTATCTCTTGTATTCTGTTGGTGATGCTTGCATCTATGACTCCTGATCTCTTTCCTAGGTTTTCTATCTCCAGGGTAGTCTCCCTTTGAGATTTCTTTATTGTTTCTACTTCCATTTTTAGATCCTGGATGGTTTTGTTCAATTCCTTCACCTGTTTAGTTATGTTTTCCTGTAATTCTTTAAGGGATTTTTGTGTTTCCTCTTTAAGGGCTTCTACCTGTTTACCTGTGTTCTCTTGTATTTCTTTAAGGGAGTTACTTATGTCCTTCTTAAAGTCCTCTATCATCATCATGAGAAGTGATTTTAAATCTGAATCTTGCCTTCCCGGTATAATGGGGTATCCAGGACTTGCTATGGTGGGAGAATTGGGTTCTGATGATGCCAAGTAGCTTTGGTTTTTGTTGCTTAGGTTCTTGCACTTGCCTCTCATGATCTGATTATCTCTGATGTTTGTTGATCTTGCTGTCTCTGACTGGAGTTTGTCCCTTCTGTGGGCCTGTAATCCTGTGATCTTAGGTATGTCAGCACTCCTGGGGAGACCAGCTCTCTCTTGGGCAGGATTTGGGTATGGAGGGCTGTGAGACAGCCTTAGCTCTGGGACACAGATGGACACCAGAAGGATCCTGTCCCCAGCTGCTCCCCTGTTCCTCTACCCTGTGCACTCCTGGAGGGTCCCTCTTTGGATAGTTATTGAAGCAAAAGTGGTGATCTTACCTCTAGGCTTAGGAGTCAGAGCGCTTAACCTATCGTCTATACTGAAAAACCACTCCTTTAAGGAACCTACGAAGATGTTCCAGGCTCTCATATTAATACAAAGTTCTCTAGTACACAGTTGAAATGAGAGCAATGTTTTCCTCTATCATTGACTTTTAACCAATTGCCTGTGTTGTGTGTCAGTGTTCTAGGTCCTGTGGAGGCGGCATTCAGGAGAGAGGAGTGTCTTGTCCAGGAGGCTTCTGTGACTGGACAAAAAGACCTGCATCTACTGTGCCCTGCAACAGACACCTTTGCTGTCATTGGGCCACTGGGAACTGGGAGCTGGTAAGAGTTGGTTATACGTGCTTTGTGCTACCTTGACTTTCTATAAAGAAATTTTATAGCACATTTTTTAAATTTCTAAATTTCCTGGAAGACAGACTGCCTTTTGAGTTCAGGGGCAGGCAGTTCAGATGGAGGTACAGATTGGAAGGACTATGGGGCTCAGGGAGAGTGAAATAGATCCCATGTTTGCTAGGTTCTGGGGATTGGAGGGGGTCCCAGCTGGTGGGGGTTTATGGCAAACATCCTGTGAGACAGATAGGTTGTTGAAAGTCAGGGACAGGCACACCAATCTGCCACGGGTTCAGATGAAGGTGAGACCAGAAGGACAATGGGACTCAGGAAGAGCTGGATGGATGGGTAGGGGAAGGGAAGCTAACGTGGGGGCTGGGGGGGGGTTGTATATCTTGCTATGCTGGTCATTGTTGTGGTTCACAGGCTTTACATGTAGATAGGAGTATTGATTACTTTCCTTCCTTGTTAGCTTGCATAGCTCCTCTGATACCATGGGAGCTAGTCCTCAGGTAGGAGGCTTCCAGATCGGTTCCAGACTTAATCCTCTAAGTCCTGTATCCAAAGTGTGTGTTGTCTTCAGCAATAGGCTCTTACCGTCCTTTTCTGAAAGGCACCAAGGCAACAGCAATAGTCTATATTGTGTGAGAGGGTCGCTTGCACTCCCCGGAACGGAAAGATTTCCCATGCCTGGCAGTGAGGATTTTGTTAGACAGTCTACGGTTTTGAAGAGAGCATTGTTACCCCAAGTGGCACAGTTTCAATTACATTACATAGATATATGTGTATGTGGTTATTAATTGATTATATATAATTTTAGGTAACATATAAACATATAATTCCCTGTGGCATTTTCAAACGTCCTTAGTGCTCTTTATCTCCTCTCTTCCCTCTTCCCTCTTCCTTTGGGTTGCCCTCCTTCCCTGATTCCCAGTAAATTTCTCCTAACCATCTTTTTGTCATTTCCCTCTTTGTAGGAATGGTGTCCTATTTTTGAACGATGCATCTGCATGCATGTTGTATGGGTGTGTGGGCTTAAGTATAGTGCCCTTGGAGGACAGAATCCCTAGAGCTGGATTGTAAGGCACCCAATGAGGGTGTAAGGACCCAAACTTGAGTCCTCTGAAAGAGTGGGACCCATAACTACTAAGCCATCTCTCCAGCCCTTCTACCTTAGCTTCACTAGCCAGTTTTCCTTTCGACACATGGTGGATGTTCGCCACTTGTTCCTGACATGCCAGATATTTTCCATGCCTATCATGTCATGTATTTACATGTAACTGATATGTCACATGTTTCCATGTGCTTGACTCACAGTGCTCTCTCCCTGTATGCTACTTCCAGGTCTCTTTGTCAAAAGTTGCCTCATAGCTTCTGGGAGTCCATGGTCATTATATAGAGTTTAGAATAGAGAGAGAAAAAAATACTTTCAAAAGAGAAAACATCAAATAACAAAAATATTCCAGATGCTCAAGGCCTATGGAAAGGTTATTTTGATGCTCAAGCCCTTGGGTTCTTTTCTTAGACTTAAATATAGTCACATGTTGAAGCCTTAGGCTTAGTCTGACTTTGTGAGTCTAGACCTTTCTTCTGCCCACAAAGCAGTTTGCCAGATGGCCAGCCTGTTTGATGGTGAAGTAAACAAAATAATTAAACTATAAATGAGAGAAAGATTATCATCCTACCATTAATTATGGAGGGGATAAAAGTTCCATATCCCATAGACAAATTCTGCCAGCATTCGGACTTATCCGACCTGAGTTCTCTAGGAAATAGGTTAATGACTCATGTGAGAGTACTCAGTCCCCTGTGGACAGCATCCACACCTCTGGGCAGGTGGGTCTCGGTTATGTAACTGAGCAAGCTGGAGGGAAATTCAGGAATCATCATTCTTCCACGGCTCCTGCTTCACTTCCTGCCTCCAGGTTCCTACTTCAGCTTCCTCAGAAGATAGGCTGTAGCCCAAAAGCCAAATCAAGCCTTCCCTTCGCCAATGGCGGTGGTCAATGTTTGTCATGGTAACCAGAAACCAAACTTACACACTTAGTCTTTCTGCAACAATCTTATCTTACAGATATAGAAAAAAGGGGAGGATGATCAACAATAAGCCAGAAATCCCAGATTCCCAAAATGCTAGTCCAGGATTCTCTCAGAGTCTTGTTTGTTTATTTTCTATCTTTCTTCCTTATGACCTTTGTTACAGACTTATCAATATTGAAAGTTTTACCTGAATAGATATTTCACTGTTTCTTGCCAATACTTGTGGAATATTTGATTAAAATTATATTCAGATTTAGTCACAGAAAATTCTGACTTTTACATTTAAACAAGAGATTCTCCCCCAATGCCACTCATTGTTATGCTTCCTGTTTTATATACTGTAAAATAAAATAGATGAGTACATATGAAGAAAAAGTTACATCTGCATCCTGTTATCTGTGAAGTCTCTGTAAGAAGTGGGGTTTGGTGTTCAGAGCTGACTGATAGTATTCCTGTCTGGAAGTTCTCTTATCTAGTACCCTGGGTCTCCAATTATATTTCAAATTGGAAATGGGTTCTTTTAAGCTTAATGGCTTTCCCATTTAGCAACCTTTTGAGCCAGTCAGTCAGTGGGTATTTGTTGAACATCATGTTCACTGCTGTGAAGCATGAAGACTGGGAAACTTGTTCTACTCTGAGAATTTTTGCTCATATAAGAAAGAGAAATCTAAGAAATAACAAACCACTGTTCATCAAGATGGCATCAAAAGACAAGAAGGAAGCTCCTGTCCCTCCCAAAGTCAGAGTGAAGGCTTTGAGAGCTAAGAAGGTAGTGATGAAGGGCATCCACAGCTACAAAAAGAAGATCTACACATCACCAAACAACCAGCAGCACAAATCTCTGTGGTTCTGGAGGTAACCCAAATACCCCTGAAAGAGCATGCCCAGAAAAAAACACAATTTACCACTATGCTGTCAACAAATTCCCCCTGACCACTGAGTCAGCCATGAAGAAGACAGAAGACAGCAACACCCTTGTGTTCATTGTAGATGTCAAGGCCAGCAAGCAGCAGATCAAGCAGGCTGTGAAGAAACTCTAGGACATGAATGTGGCCAAAGCCAATACCCTGATAAGGCCTGACAGAGAGAAGGTATCTGTTCAGCTGGCTTCTCCTTATGATGCTCTGGATGCTGCCAACAAGATTGGGATTATCTACACTGAGGATAGCTGGCTAATTCTAAATGCACACCTTTCCCACCAGCCAAACAAACAAACAAAAAAGAAATAACAGAACATTGTATAAAATAAAAAAATGTAAGTGTGTATGTACATCACAGTAGCCAAACCATGGAGACTGCATAAATGTCCCTCAGTGGATGATTGTGAAAGCAATGTGGAACAAACCTAAATGTAACATTATTCTACTTTATAAAGGAAGTCTATACACTGCAACATAGATGAACTAGCAGTAATTATGCTAACTGAAATAAGTCACAAATGGGCTACTGTCTGCTTCTACTTAGTAAGATTCCTACAGAGATCAAAGGGCATCAAAAAGATACAATGGTGTTTGCCAGGAGCTGGGGTACAGATGGAAGGTGATATTAAGTTGTTTAAAAATACAACTTTAGTTTGCTAAGATGACATTCAATAGATGCTTGGTATACCCTGAAAATGTTCTTAAGGCTGCTGCAGTGTGTACATAACAAAGCTTAAAATAAAGCTTGGTGTGGTGGCATGTACCTGGAATCCTGAGGCAGGATGATCATAATTGAAGGCCAACAGAGCTACATACCAAGACCTTGTCTCAAAAACAAAACAAAAAAGGAAGTGTGTGTGTGTCTGTGTGTGTGTGTGTGTGTGTGTGTGTGTGTGTGTGTGTGTGTGTGTGCCCTTATGGTTCACATTGTATCTTCATAATGTCAAGGTGAATGCTTCTCATACATTCATGATATCAAAATGAGTGCTTGGGTTTAGAGATTTTGTTAGAATCAAAGCTATAAACCCTATAAACGCCATCTTTCATTCTCATTCCTCCCAATGTGTGTGCTCCATCCCACTTGCTTTGCCATGATGGAAGAGAAAATCTGGTTTCTCATTCTCTATGGCTTGGCAGGAATGCTAGCCATTAACCACACTCTCTTTTGCATCATTTACTCTAAAATGGAATCTCTTTCTGTGTGTCCATTACAAATTCCCAAGGAGGTGATTAACTGATCCACTTTGACTAACCCTCAATGCTGTAGCTGTGTCATAGAAGCATCAGGGCATTCTCAAATGGGGGAAAAGGAACTCATTCTACAGAGCGCTCACTAGCATATAGGCTATAGTCATTCCAACACCTCTCACACAGAACTCTTCCTAAACTCACATCTTGGACTGACTTGGATTTCAATTATGGCAGTGTAGTACTTTATTACAACTTGGTCTCACAGTGAGCCAAGCGCCAGAGGGCTCATGGAAATTTAGACCGTCTCTCCATTGACTGTGGTAGGTTGCTCCCTTGGTAGTCCTGGGGAAGAACTTTGACTCTTTCTGTGTTTTTCAGTGTACCACTTCCTGTGGTGGTGGCTCTCAGAAGAGGACCGTTCATTGCATCCCCTCAGAAAACAATACAACTGAAGACCAAGACCGGTGCCTCTGTGACCACCAGGTCAGACCCCCAGAATTCCAAAAATGCAACCAGCAAGCCTGCAGGAAGAGTGCTGGTAGGTGACAGGGATGCTCAGGTGGAGCGGGGCTGTGGTGGTAAAGAGCGTTATATAAATCTTCCTTCATGATTCAGCTTGAGGATAGTTTTCTGGCCCCTCTGCAGAACAGAAAATCTTGATGCTGAAGAGGCTGGACAGCAACTTTCAGACAAGTGATATGATTTAATAAATTTTGATTGATTCCTTAATGAATTACTTTATCTGTACATCTGATCTCCTGCCTCAGACCATATTTATGCTGATGGCATCCCACACAGATAAGAATTATTTTTTTTAAATGTCTGAGAGATATTCTAGCTTTTTTAAGGAATCATTCAAATACAGAATGATCTGTAAATCTAAATATACTGTCAGATTGCCCAGAAGCAACCTTGGAAGTGATTTTATATGTGTGTGTGTGTATATGTGCATATATGTGTGTGTGTGTGTGTGTGTGTGTGAATCATTATATACATATGAATCATATACATATGATTCATTAAGGACATAATCTCAGAGAAGACAATTAGGGACAGGAAGAAACATAACATAAAAAGAAACAGGTATAGCCAGGATAGCCCAGTACATGAATCTCTCTTGGGCTACCCAGCATTTAAAGCTCCATACTAAAGACAAAGATATTCTTCTGGTAGTCTGTGAACATTCTAAGAGTTAGGATATCTTGGAATTAAAGAAGCTAAGAAGGACAGAAGCTTGGAATTATGTGGGTAGGTTTGCACTTTTTCCTCCTGGGGCAGAAAGGAGCTGTTGAAGTATCTAAAGGAGAGATGTTCAGGTAATAGAGTGCTTCTCACATGTCCAATATCATCCTTCTTGTTCAGCTCAAGCTGAGGAAGTCATGTTGGTGAGACTTTATGGTGTAGCTTCTGACATTCCTAGAAGACATATTCTCACAACAAATGCCCTGATCTGCGTTTACATTCTTTCTGCCCTCTCTTCTCCACTGTTCCTGAGCCTTAGGTGTTTGCCAAAGTTGATGGGAAAAGTCCATGAAGCCTCAACCATATACAAAGACCTACAGGCAACTGAGAAATGGTGAGAGTAGAAATAGTCTCTAGCACACCAAATGGCTATCCAACACCAAGTGGTCAGCCCTGAAATCACATATCCAAGTAACATTATACAGACTAGACAGATTGTATTTAGGAATACATATGTATTTGTGTATATATTTCTGCATATAATAACAATTAGCCAAAAAAGATGCCATGAATTTGAAGCAGAGTAGGGAGGGGTTATAGGAGGGTTTAAATGTAAGAAAGGGAAGGGAGAAAAGTTTTAACTATAGTCTCAAAAATTTAAAAACTGAAGAAAGAAAGAAAGAAAGAAAGAAAGAAAGAAAGAAAGAAAGAAAG